TACAGTGTGACACTTCGTTTATCCTTTTTTTTTCAGAAGAAAAATCCTTTAAACATTTTTCAGTGATGCGCCCTCAAAGAAATGTCTTAGATTCAAAGCGGAATTTGCGAATGCAACATAATTGACGACTAGAATTATTATTATTATTATTATTATCGAATATAGATTCCTCTACAAAGAGTTTCAATGGAGTCACGCGTTGTCGTCTGCTTTGGAACTTTGAGTGCCACTTATCAAGTCTTTCTCGAAAGTTGCGACATGACAGGAATAACGATAATTGCAAAGTAATCTGAGAGGGTCGATTTGCCGGAGACAAGTCAGTGATATAGTTGGGACTTGATTTCTCGGGTAAAATCACAGCCAGTAAGAGCTCTCGTATGTTACTGCCGTATATTTGTGTTCTCTCTTTCTTCCTCTTTCTTTCTCTCTCTCATGTGCACGGGATATTCCATAATTTTCGACATATTTTAATTTCAAGGATAAAGATAAATCGTAATTAAAAAGTTTTGGGACATTTTTTTTCTTAATTATACAACTTTTTTTCATTATATGCTACTTTTTCAATGTTTATAATTTATAATGCAGATATTATAAAAGATATCTAATGTTAATTATTAAAACGTGCTGTGCCTTCACAATGCTATGAAAAAGATTAATTTCTCAAGAATCTCTAATAGATATACTAGTTTAAGCACTAATACCTCCCAATACGATCTCACGACTTTCTATTCGAAATAAAAGCGGTGAATCAATCTAGCTAAGGCTACGAATTCCGAGGAAATTCCGTATCGGAATTTCGGGAATCGACGCGACGTAAGCCTTCGAAAATCCGGTTGAGGTCGAGACCAAAAGGTCCGGTACAATATAAATCAGAGTCCGACGAAGAGAGCCGCGTGTCTCACAGCCGGATACCGCGCTCTCGTCTTCCATCGGTATCTTTCGCGTCGATCTCTCTTTCTCGCCGTTTCCCGCCTCTCCCGGTACGTAATTACGGGCCTTAAGGGTGCAGAACTTACGAGCTCTTTTACCGTCGTGGTTGCCGATCTCGCCGTTCGGCAAAAAGAACATGCGCAATAAAAAAGAAACGTTTAAAGGATCGGGAAAGCTTCCTCCGCTGTTTAAAACGGAATTCTCTCGCGGATGGTTGCCCGTAAAAGCACGATGGCCGAGGAGGGATGGCGAACGATGAAAGAGTTTATCACTTTTCAAAGTTCTAGTCGCGAGGATAACAGAGGAAGGGAGAGACGCGGATTCGTATATCGATGAGCTTTCATTGCCGCATTTTGAAATATTTTATTTGCAAATTATGCATCGAAAAATGTGATATTAATTTGTCTACAATTTTCTGTGAACGCGAAATTGTTGCAATTTTATATAAAAAGATAGAAAGCCTTTGTTTCTCTTTTTTTCACTTTTCGATTGTACTTCCCGTTATCACTTTTTTTCTGAAATTTAGGATGGTTCAATTCGACGATTCGCAGTCGAAATCATTTTTCCAGCAGTCGTGCAACCGTTTCCGTTTAGGGGAACGAGAGGAACGGTGAGCAAACAGGACGAGAATAATCGTCCTCGCGTTCGCACAGAGGGGCGAGAAGGGGATGGAAAGACGCGTCGGCTTCTCACCCTCGGTTCGAAACAATCGCAACTATGCCCCAACAATTTATAATTCCGCCTTGCCAGTCCTCCACATTTTGAAATATTTTATTTGCAAATTATGCATCGAAAAATGTGATATTAATTTGTCTACAATTTGTCTACAATTTTATATAAAAAGATAGAAAGCCTTTGTTTCTCTTTTTTTCACTTTTCGATCTGTCATTTTTATACTTAATCTTTCTATATACTTGTACTTCCCGTTATCACTTTTTTTCTGAAATTTAGGATGGTTCAATTCGACGATTCGCAGTCGAAATCATTTTTCCAGCAGTCGTGCAACCGTTTCCGTTTAGGGGAACGAGAGGAACGGTGAGCAAACAGGACGAGAATAATCGTCCTCGCGTTCGCACAGAGGGGCGAGAAGGGGATGGAAAGACGCGTCGGCTTCTCACCCTCGGTTCGAAACAATCGCAACTATGCCCCAACAATTTATAATTCCGCCTTGCCAGTCCTCCACCGTTCCCTCGGTGAGGGATTGCCCCTTCTTCTCCCCCCACTTTCCCTCCTTCTTCCGCGCCGTGCACAGTTAAATGTTATTACTTCAGCCGTTGCAGATAATTTCCCTCGTTTGTTCGCCGGAGCGAATTCAGTTTCTCTTTGCTAGGCCCGACTTCGCGAAAGGCGAAGCCGTCAATTTTGAATTCACGCGAGAACTACGGGGCAATGACGCCATTGGTAGAAATAACGCCAGCCTTACGCTGACTTTACGCAAAGCGAGTCGAGTAGTTAATTATTTCCACACTTTTATCGACACGATAATGAAATAGAAAAGCGAGGAATTTTTACCGCTCACGTGCGTTTTACTACATGAAATAGTATATAAATATATTAATACTACGTATTAATTTCATATATATATATATCGACTATTTTCTATAAAATTAGAACTTTATCATGGTTTATCTGAGCTATGGAAATGCATTTTTTGTCCTCGTTCAATGAAAATATTCGAAAAGAAATCTGGTAGATTGGGGGTCTAAAATATTTTATCATTTTATGATACAGGTATATATACAAAAATTAAACAAATTTCATTATATTTATATGTTAATTGTCCCTTTTCGAATATATCTTGATTCGATATAATGGAAAATGAAATTTCCGTTCGATATAATAAAACTTTCGGTCGAGAGAAACCGCATAATAGTACGTTTTCCAGTAACCGATGCGGAGTGCAAGCGAGAGAAAGAGAGAGAGAGAGAAAGAAGGTAGAGGATGGTTCTCCGCTTTTTAGTCGCCGACATTTTTGTTCCCTTCCCTCTCGTCTCCATCGGGCGGGGTTGCGTGCATCGGTGACTGCTGTGGCCCTGCACTAGCGCTCTTTTCTCCGTGGTGAGCACTCCCGGTAATGTGCTTCTTGGTGCATTAACCTGGACCAGGCAGCACGCATATACATGTATGTACGTCAAACCTTTTGTATCCCTCCTTCCCCCTTCCCCCCTCTCCCCGATGCACAAACGCGAGTGCAGGGTTTAATGCAAACTGCAAACCACCTTTCGGGTAGAAGAAATGAGTTTCCTTTCTCCCTCCCCTTGACTATATCTTCCGCAATCTCCTTCGCAATCGTTTATCGTTCTACATGAGATGGTGGCTTTTTCGCCATCAGTTGTATTACGATCACCCGAATTGGCAACGCAAATTTTTCCACCGATTCCTTTAAAACAACTTATTACGTTTTTTCTTAAATGTTTGACGATATATTTGCATATCTGAATTCTTTTATCATCACAAATAATCTCATTTATTAATAATAATAAAAATATAAAATCTAGATTATACGAAGGGAGACTTAAAGAATCTGATACAAAGAATTTGTAAAAAAATTTAAAATTTATGGATCGATGAAGAAAACAAGAGAGAATGAAATATCGTGGAATTAATAAATTGCTTGCCAATTAAAGCGTTACCAGAAGGTGTCGTAATTGTACTTTTATATCACGTGAAAAATACGTTTAATATATTAATAATACAGATTTTTATAGAAATCACTAACTAAAAACAAAGGACATATATTGAATTAAAATCTGCGTTTGCCAAAAGGTGTCGCACAATAGTCTGGGAAGAGAGAATGATGATTACATTTACAATTATGTAACTTTTTCATATCTTTATTCCACCCTCATATTTTTCCGAACTTTCGCGATTCCGAGAAAAGATTCTCGAAAGTGCGAGAAGCGTCAGAGTAAATGTAAGGCAGATAGAAACCTTGAAGAACGAGAGAAGAACGTGAAACGAAAGCGGATGTCGCGGTCGAGGGGGACGAAATCGTTAAAAGGAATGCGCAGTCGAGCGAAAGAGGCCTCAAGAGAGATTGGCAGCGGGGGGGGTGGTCGGCCAGTTGAAATAATGTAGAGAAAGCTCTAAAAAGCTTCACCAGAAATCCAGGAAGACACCCGCCACCCTATTCCATTTCAGTTCTCTCGCTTTTCCTTCTCCTCCAAGGGAAGAAAAATTTCTTCTTTGATCTCGGTTTCGACTTTACATTGACAATATTAATTTTACAAGTGCTATATTAATCGTTTCTTTTTAAACGAATTCAGATAGAATTTTATTCGGTGAAAATTGAACGGCAGGTTATTATAAGCAAATTTTTTATATATTAAATATTAAATATGTCGATTTTATATACTTGATATTTCACTTTTATTGCAATAAGATTTTTCTGAACATTTTATAATTATTAAGAAAAGTTATACATTAAATAATAACAGACTATAGAATCATTCTGTTCGATTCTGATTTTAATTGTGACGTGCATATTTTAAATTAGAAATCTTCTTATCGCAAATGTTTGATATTGCGATGCCGTGTGTGTTTTAAAAGATTAAAAATCATGGTTTAAATTTGCAGAATGATACCGAGCGATATCGCTAACAGCAGCTGTGAATCAGACCTTGGATTTGTGTTTTAAGATAATTGCTCTTTTTTTGTCTTCCATTTTTATAAATATAGTTTATCTAAAATTTTGATAAAAACATATTTTTCTCATTTTTAATCTGGTGTAGTTATGTAATATATATATATACAGACATTTTTTACTTTAACTCCACTTTTTAAACGATTTAAATTTATAATCTGTGATAAAATTCAAAACAGAATTCTATCTATAATTTTACGTATCATGTAATACAGAAAGCATTTGAATAAATAAAATACATACACGAATAAGATATGTAATATATTAGAATATGTGACACACACATAAAATTATAAATAGAATTCTATCTTGAATTTTATCGCGAATTATAGATCGTAAATTATAAAACGGGCTTTATCTATATTGAAAGTTCAGTGTGTCTAAAGTTTGATGACTTTGGACAATTTTTTATCAATCTTTTTTATATCGCAAGGAAGCTGGCGGTCAGGAAACACGCGATAAATAAAACACATGTGTACACATTAAATACATATAACGGTCGGTATTATAATTCTTATTTTGACGGATTTTCCCGAACAGTTGTATTTTATATCGCGTGACATTAACACGCGTAATTTTGACGTGAACCGACATCATAAGGCATTAAAAAATTCTTGGTCTGCAAGTATTTTTTGCACCAAACTGTGTGTTGTGATTTCTTCTCACTCGTTTTTGTTGACATACATTATACTATTTATCTTAAAATGAGGCGAATCCGTGGGATTAATTTGATCTCATTTTGCGCACTCGTGTTGTTTGTTGATAATAACGGTGTAACGGAAGGTCACAGTGTGAAAGATTTTTTCAAAGCTTTACGTGGGCTGTCGCAAATTAAAAACCTTCGACATGGAATTCTCCCAGGTAATTATTTTATTTTGTTCTAGAATAAATATTTCAATTATTTTACATATAGTTAAATTCCGATTTTGGTTTTTATGTTATTTTTATATCTTTTATTCTTTTATATCCAACAAATAATATATCAACGATATAATATATGTTAAAGATTTAAACGATATAATATATGTATATAATAATAATAATAATAATAATAATAATAATAATAATATGTATATAATTTATCTTTTGTGATTTTCATATTTTATTTTATTCAGAAAATTATATATCTGTAATGTCTAAATTTATTATTTAAAATTTATTGAACGAATCTGTTTGTTTATGATATTGTATATGTTTATAGGTACGCTTTGGTGTGGCCGGGGAAATATTGCTCGTAATGATTCCGAATTGGGTGTGTACGACGAAATGGACACGTGTTGCAGAACGCACGATCGTTGTAAGGATTCCATAAACCCTAAAGCTACAAAATACGGACTGTATAACAAATACATTTGCAGAAGGTACCACGATACATCACGTTTATACGTCTATTTACGATTGCTAAGCGTATGAGCTCACTTTTGACTTTCCGCAGCTCGTTATGCGAGTGCGATTTGCAATTTTACGATTGTTTGATGCGAGTACATGGCCTGTATGCGTCCACCGTGGGAAAGATATATTTTAAAAAATGCAAGCAGTGCTTCCGTACCTATTACGATTCTGAGGAATGCATAAGAGAGTAAGTGATATACATATGTATGTGAATGTTTTTTTCGAATTACACCGAAAGAACGGGGTTCTTATAATTAATTAATAGGATAATAAAATGTTTTCTGGTCAATTATCAGTTCAACGCGAGACGATAACGTCGATGACTTTGCGCGTACCGTTTAACATTCGCGCGTCTATTAACGAGAGATATCACGTTCGCTTAATTGTTATCCATCAATTAACTCTCGCGAGTGAAAATTGAGCTGACGTCAAAATTGTTTGTTATTTTGACATCAATTGATTCCCCGTCAAAAGCATTATTAAATTACATCATTCATTAGGGGTCTCGATATAAACGAGGAGCCGGATCGTAAGGGCCGTCGCGTTTTCTGCGCAAAGTTTGACCAAAATCCAAAATGGGAGGAGCATCGACACAAGGCCACTTCGCCGAGATCGATCTACATCGACGAACTTTTAAACTGGCCTGATGATGGAGCCGCGCAATTCGATTCACAATCCTATTTCGCAAACGATAGAAAATATTCCGTCGATGAAGAAGACGCTATGAAAGCTATCGAAGATAATTATTAATGCATTTTGATGTCGTATTTTACGCTCGCAGATTCGCCAAAATTAACAGGTAACGAGTTGTGATTTTTTTCAGCAGATTATTTGAAAATTCAATCTGGAGTATTAAAATATCAAGATAAATAATGCCAGATTATACATACATTTTTAATATATAATTTTATATTTAATAAAAATCTCTTTATTCAAGACAAATTTTCTACTCAATGGTTTTGAAATATTTAATGTGGTTTCTTCTTGGTATTTTATAATAAATATAAATATAATTTTTTTTTCGATTCTCTCGCAAATGTTTCACTTGTAAAAGCGGGGGGCACGAACTGCCGCCTAAATTGCACATACGTAAATGACACTGGCACTAGAGAGAAAGAGAATCATGCCCCCCCGAGTACGATTCCGAAGTCCGCTCCGAAATTGCTTCGTCTTCGATACGACGGCCGTTTGCGAAGGGGGGTTGCGGGGAGAAAGAGGGGACGGGGAGGTTACTTGAAGATCCGTCGAGAATTTTATCGCGAGGCTGTAGACACGGACGGTCGAATGAGCGAAGCTATCTCCATTTCGCGATTTTTTTTTTTTCCTTTCTTTACTATACCCTTTTGCAGCTTGGGAATTGTGCTACCCTCGGCTGCCGTCTCGCCCCCCTTTTCTCTCACGCGGAAAGAATGTTCAATTATGGAAAAATGCGCGCGTGAAAGTTTTGCCGCGGGAGCGCTTGTTTCAACGAAGGATGTTTCTGAATTAATATTGACGAGGAGGAGGAGAGGAGGGAAAGGGTTGCTAATGCAAATCAACAGTCGGCGCATTGTTAAAAAAATTGTCTCTCGCATGCACTTCTTCGCATCCGCTTTGCGTATTTTTCTCGCCAGTTTGACAATCTCTCAATTCGAACAACACGGAAACGGATACATCTACTTTATACATTGCGTTCATTTACAATTGTAAGAATTGTCACATTGATGTGACGTGTAGTATATGTGCGTTGGTTTCTAAATCCACACGTATTTCTCTTACGTTACTTAGGCGAATAAAATATTACCAAGATAAATTATGTATTCCGATGAAATAGCCAACACAATATAAGCCAAGTTATACGCGGATGGAAGTAATGGAATCACGTATAAAAATTCTACCATGATTTCACATATATGCGGAAAATGTTCCACTTCTGTCAAATCAAGCGGAAAGCTAAGTTTTCCGGAGATCAATCTCCAGTTTCGTTCGTAACAGTCTTATATTTCGCGATATCTTCGCGCGAGCGAGCTTCTTTCATTAAAAGACACGCTTTTTATATTTCTCGACGTTTTATTAAAAAGCCTTTAAGAATATTGCCGCGACTCGAACCTCGCTCGTTTGAAATCTCCCTTAAGTGCCTTGTATTATAGAGTCCTCTTGAGGAAAATGGCGATTGCTAATAAAAAATGTACGAGGAATTTTCTTCCATTCGTCAGGGGCGGAGAATATGAAAGAGCCTAATATCTTTGTATGCTTTTTACTGTAGTTTGCACAGGATTTCTAATTGGAGTTTCATTAACTTGAATTGAAACGGGTGCCAACAGAATTTTAATTGGAGTTTTTTGATGGATTTTTTTTTTCCCAGTCCTTTTAATTCCTATTGACGGGAAGCACAATCTTGAAGTAATGTTACATCACAGTACTTTTTATATAGGGCGTGCAATAAATTGTCGGCGTGAATAATTTCCCGTAAAAAAACAAGGAAAAAAGCATGGAATAAATTTCATTACCCGCGTTGTTTTCGAGAAAACTAGCTCTCCCTCTGCCTCTCTCTCTCTCTCTCTCTGTCTCTTCGCATAAATATGTGTATGAATAAAAAAAAAATATAAAATATTATATCACGTTAAAATATTATATGTATCAATATTAATATAATATATATGCATAATTTTTTTTTAATATTATATTTTTGATATCTTGGAAAAGAGAAGTTATAAAGAAATATTTGCTACATCTTGAAAGGGTATTTTCTTCTCGGTTTGTGCCCGGACGAAAAGCGTCGTCCACATGACGCCACTATTTTCTCATATATGCGACGCTACCCTTCATCCATGTCGACGACAAAACCGCGGGTGGTTTTTATTAAAATGTTGAACCCTCTTCCGTTCCCCTCCCTCACCACCGTTGAAGAAATCAATTCGATTCTCGGCCGATATTACCGGCCTTTTCTCATCCCTTTCAATTTCTACGCCTCTCTTACCCGAATTTCGATTTCGTTTGAATCATGCGCGCATATCGACTTACCTACCTTGCCGGATTATCCGCGAGAAAAAGGCAAAAAAGATTGGGGAAATATGAGGGAATCGACGTTCCGGAAAGGGTTGGAAATGGGAAGGCGTCGCGTTTTCGTCGTCGACACGTTTTAGATCGCTGCACACCCCTGATTTCGTAATCCGCAAGATCCCACGGAAGGGCACATAGATCATTTTCACCCCTTTACAGCGCGAACGTGCGCATTCCTGGCGCGAATTGAGACATCGTCTCGAAAATCAAGTTGTCGAGAAAGTAAAGCAATGCGTAAAACTTCCCCAAAAAGAAAAGAAAAATCACATTATTTCGGCATAATAACTTGATCATCGAAGCAGCTATTAAGTTATTTAATATATAAGTTGAGAAATATAATGCAATTGAGATTCTAATTTAATTCACTAGAGCTTTACGTTGCCGAACACAATTAATATCCGTTCGAGTAACATTCTTGGAATTCTCGCATCTTTTTTTTTCCATTTTTTTAGATCATTACTTTTTGACCGTTCTATCGATTGTGTACTCGATACGAGCGGAAAAGAGTTAAAAGTAACGAGAGCAAAGAGAAAGCGGTGATAAAGGATTGTTTTCCTTTGCCGCGTTTGTTCGTCGAAGATATAGGTGGTTCGGTTTCACCGATCACGTTGGTCTGATTGATCCTCAGCTGTGTATCGAGTACACTTTTACCAGTGAGAAGCCAACAATGCGATATCCCCTCGATCTTCTCGAGAATTGTGCGACTCGTGTGATATAAATGGTATGTTCATCTATTACATCACACGGGCTTTAAGAACGCTTGTCACACGGACAATGTACACGCGAATCGAAAGTTCAGTCTCGTCTTTACTTGACCGTTTATACGACGCGATAGAGCGCGAAGAAAGAAGAGCTTTCTCTCAGGTTTGCGTGCAGGTGAGTTATAAGATGTTTGATCCAAGAATTGCCGAGCTGTTTGTCACCAGAGAACAGAATTCCCATCGTAAATCGATAAATAAATACTTTTTTTTAATTTTTCGATTGAAAAATATTTAATTCAAGGTAAAGTATATATGGTGTTTCTCTCACATTCTCAGCCAGAACAAAAAATGTCGATACATTGGAAAATTTATGCATAACGTTTTAAAATAACTTATTTTCATAATTATAATATTTTAATCAATTTTAATTTTCAAGGTTTCATAAAAAATCCCTGCGTTGCCTTTTGCGTTAAAAGGTTTAATTTTAGAGTTGCTTCATCTGCTTTTTTACATCGATAATTTTAATCGTTCACTATGTACATGTCTCGATTTAAAGATCTTATTAAAATAATAATCTCATAACACAGATACCGGAATGTTTGACTATGCAAAATTAGAAGTCGATAACAAAAAATTAAAAGATAAGCAGATAGCTGAGAGAGAATTTCACAGTTTATTTACCGCTTAGGAGAAAGAGTCCGCAGGCTACGAGAGTCCTGTGATCGGAATAACAATGGCCGATCAGAGCAGACACTGTTGCAGCGAGAATCAAGATCGCGGCGGCGACTTGGAACGGTGCGGAGATCCTGGAACAATAAATGACAGTGATTTTTAGATTGTCACGTTAAAAGAGAGAGATGGGGGAACGTCGTCGGTGCAACCACAACATCATACACTATTTTTAAATATTCTCCTACAGATGCGTATCTCTCGGTCTACGAGAAAAAGCGGTTCTCTCTCTCTCTCCGCATCTTTCGTTGTTGCAACCCCGCTCCTGGAATCGATGGCAATTTATAGCAGCCTTATTAGGGTGTTGAAGTGTGACTTTACGTCTTACTCCTCGCGCGCGCGTTAAGCGAGGGATAAAGATCGCAACCTCGGAAAAAGTCGATCGAAGAAAATTCCTCTCGAGAAAAATACTGACGAATATTATATAATTTATCTACGTCAGTCAAAGAGATAAACTCTGACTTTTCACGAGTACGAGTCTGATCTTTAATCTATCGGGTTGAACATAATTTATCATGTGCGTTCTCTACAATGACTGTAACGGATTCCCGTTGAAATCAGATTAATATATTCCATTAGCATTTATACATAGGTTGAATAACAATTGAAAACCAGTGATATCTAACTCGTATTTGTGTGTTATTTAATGACAGGATATCAAATATGAAGTATATTTTTCACACTTGGAAATTCGGCGAAGAAGATAGCTTTTATGACGCCGCGGGACGTATCGCGAAATTCTCGTCACCCTCGGCACTTAATCCCCCTCCCGTCTCACCCCTCCAACGTGGTCGCAACCCTCGACCAGCCTGCGCTCTCTCGGTGGAACGCGAATCGTTAACAACGCGAAGGATTGTCGTTTGCAGGCGGAGGGTGGCTACCCGCGACGTGGCGGCTCTCGAGAGTTTCGAAGCTGCGCTATAATACACGTATTCGCAGCTATCGAGGTAAATGGGGCATGTGCCGAGTAAGGGGACGCACCAAACCATCTATCGATCCTTTCCGACAGGTTTAAATCTCGATCTCGCGCAAGCTTAAAAAGTTTTGCGTTTAAACAGCACACAGAATTAAAGAAATAATATTTCTAAATTAAAAAAATTTGTTTTTAAAATTATCAATTTTTTTTTTTAGGAGAAAATTCCTATCCCAAATAATCCTCCATTTTCAGCATGTTTGAACATATGTTCCCCTTTAAAGTTAACGCACAGACGATATTAGTATAATATCATTAGAATCTCGTTGAAGAAACTAGAAAATGAAAAAAATAAATTTTAATACGACTGTAAAATAAAAAAAAAAATTACATTATTATTCGCATTATTTGACAGTTTACATAATTCTCAGCTTTACTCGATATTGTATATATATATATACACACAATGATAATATATATCTAGTTTAAATTATTAAAATTGATTCCAGAAAGATTTTTAATAAAGATTGAATGGCTTTGATAATTTTCCATAATTCGGCATAAATTTGCGCCGAGAGATGGCCATTTTCGGACTGTTATCCGAAGTTGTGCCCGCTTTTGGAAAGCGGACGCGTCTGGAACTCAAGGTTTCCGGGGCGTAAAGCTCGAAACTCTCTCCTGCCTGCATGCAACAATGCAATCGCGCGTCGTCTCACGATCCCGTCGCCACGCGGTAATTTCGTGGAATCGAATTATGCGGCGTCGGTCTCGCTGCGGGAGATGGGAATTAATAGTTTCGGGGCCGGTAAGGGAGAGAGAGATAGATAGATATAGAGATAGAGAGGAAAAGCTTGCTATACGCGTCAACGCGGCGACGAGGGAACAGGCCGACGTTGTTCGCCGATGGGACCAGGGTACGGATATTGGGCAGGCAGGCAGGCAGGCCTGCCTGGCAATAAATCAGCGACGTCCCGCGGTAATATACTGCTCAGTCAGCCTGTTTAGCCGTAATAAAGCGCATTTCTCCGGGATCGAGAAGTCTCGCAAGGCGCGGCTTCGCCTTTCGGTGAACCTTCGAATCGATAACGTTGCATCGCTGAACTTGGGTCGCGAATCTGTGCATTTTGGAAGGATGGTTTAGCACCTCGCTCTAATGTCAGAAAGAACGAGCTACAAACGTTTTTAACGAGGTAAATTCTTTTTTTCAATTTTACAGTGACCGATTCATACGAATATTCAAGTCTGAAATTTAAATTGTGGCAGAGTGCAAGATTATTTTTACGAAAGTGGACGCATATCCGTCAATAATATTCATGGCTAATACTACCCTTTTCTCGTGTACATATATCTGGATGGATCAATAACGCACACAGAAAGCTCTCCGTGCTATCTAGACTCTTGGAGTGTGAATCCTGTCATGGATACTGTCGGGATTTTCTATCGGGTCTCCGAAGGAGTTAAAATCTCCAAGGTTAAGACACAAAGTTCATCTTGGAAATACGAAAGATTGCCGAGATCTTTCCGGAATTGCAGAATGTCGCGTCGCCGGGGGGCTACCTCGAGGACCAAGTGGAGGAAAATTTTTTTTCCGAGTGGGCGACAAATATCGTTTCTACCTCAATTCGATAGCAATCGAGGGAAAACAAACGCTCGCTCGAGGGACCGAGGATGGATTATCTCGTCGAAGGTTCCGCGAACCTTTTTTTCTCGTCTTTTTCGCCCCTTTTTCGTCCTTTACGCCTTAAGCTAATATTTTTAGACGATTCTCGATGAAACATTAACATTTTTAAATATTTAAATCATTAGATTAAATCACATATCCATACACATGAATCCTCCAAACATTTCTCAATTTTTATGTGTACTTAATATCGAATTTAACTTCCTACATTAAAATAGTTCTCTCTTTATATAATATAGTAAAAAATGTTATGTATAAAGTATTATTTATACTTTTTATCTCACAGAATTTTTGTTTTAATACAGACTTCTTTATTTTTTGTTACACAGGTACGGGTTACATGAAAAATGTACATCGATACTCTAGATATAACTGCAAAAAGCACAAAAAAAATTTAGATAGAAATTAATGAAAATTAAGATAGAAATCCTGATATTAAATGATTTCTTTTTCTGAGCAAATGTATTCTATCTATAAATATTCTTCAAATATCTAAGATATAATTTCAACCCATAAAATAATAATCTATTCTAATTTATTCTATAATATTTAATATGAAATCCATTTTCATTTTTATTCTTCAACATTATATATCAGCTGATTATGTGTCAAATGCAGACTGCCACTTATTCTTTTTTTTTTTTACGCACGAGTAACGTTGATTTATATGGATACACTTTACGAAGGAATACTCGTCTCCCTTTCGTGAGGGAAGGTAATTTAACGCGCTTTATGTCAAGCCGGCCGCAAGCATCTCTACGTTTGCTTCGGTCCAATTCGGACAATTTGACGGGCGGCCGGCTGGCGATACGATGTCCATTGGCCGGTCTCGGAGCGCCTACCACGGAGTGCGTAATGCCGCATAACCGTTCTGCATTACATACGGATGTAGGATTGGTATGCGAGCGCATCCCTCTTCTCCTGGCGCGCGCGCGCGCCCGCGCCCGCGCCGTCATCCACCCCCGAGAGAGAGCGAGAGAGAGAGAGAGAGGGAGAGAGAGCAGCGGCGATCCGGGCGGCGTGTATTTCGCGGGGTGAATAGCCGGCGCGGTATGTTTCTGGCTCGATGCCAGGCCGGGGTAACTATCAGCGAGCGCTACCACATTAATAGAGTTTTATTGTTATTTATGGCGACGTGTTTCTCTCTCCCTTTTTTCCTCCACCCCTCCCCTCTATAATAATAACCCGCCGCGAATTAATTGCCGCGTTCGATTTATTTTATTATCGCGCCACTTTAAATGTACGCCACTCTCTCGTTGCATTCGATGTGGCGCGATAACATTTGGCGCTTTATGCGAGGGCTATCATGTTGTGATTCATTTCTTCCTTGCGTATCTGTTAATTTTTGCGATATTGATAAATAATATAAAATAATCGCGCGCGCGAGTTGCTTTCGCTTCTTATATTTATTCGATCGGATCGGTTTACATTCGACGAAGGAAGAAAATACAGATGGGTGCATCGGTTATTATTCATTTCTCAGTTATTTTCTAAACAAGATACAGAAATTTCCGTAACGAAAAAGCACGCTCTATTTTTGTTTTTCTTATACTTTTGCGACTGTCGAGATGCAACTTACAATTCTTCAGACAAATTATAATTGAATTAAGAGAGAGAGAGAGAGAATATTCATTAAAAACAATTTTTCGCAAAATAATGTAGAAAGGCGATGAATACGACAGTGTGGAAGGTTCATTTTCCAAAGTTTGTATTACGCTGTTATAATCGTGCCGGCAAACTCGATCAATTCCTTTGCATCGCGTTTCTAGCTCTAATGTATATCCGTCCAGCTGTGCGTCTCAGAGCTTACAGCATCTTATACTTTGGCATGAAATTTCAGAAGACGCGACTGGGCGTTGTCACGCGAGCATCATTACAGCTCGGATTTCGCGAAAGTGCCACTCCGCCTCGGCGTCGTGTCGCATCTTCCCCAAATTATTGACCTTTAGCTCATAATACCTCCGCTTTTTGCACCAGGATCGCTCTTTCAAAAGGAACATTATATTTTACCTTCGAAATCGTCTTTCCAACCTAAGTATGATAATGTTCTCAGAAGGTTTCTTCAAAGAAGTTCTCTTCAATTCAAAAGAATTGTTTGGATCAAATTCCAGCGGCATATGTACTTTAAAATGAAATCTCAAGGCAATTTTTTTCCTGTTAATTACACATAGCTTTTTTAAACTTAAACTCTTGTAGTTACGTCTCTACCGTTAATTTTTACAGACTTTTTATTCCTCATTTTCACAGGTAAATTATTTCTCGAGGAAATTTCTCTCTATTATAAACTCGAGATATTACACGTATTTTTTCTCTTCTTTTTTTTATATATATTATTTCAAATATAATATAAAATTATAAATTTCAAGACAATGTGTAATAGGAATAAAAAATGATTAAAAAATATTTTATTACCTATTTAATCATAAAAATAATCTATTCGACCAATTTTGAAATCGTTCAATTTTGAGAACTATCATTATACG